TGCATTCTACCATGTATAGCAGAATCTCTGACCTCTGTCCAAGCACTCTGGTACATTCATTATGTCAATCAAAAATGCCTCCAGATATTGTCAAATGTCCATGTGGGAAGGGAGGGGAGATTCATAACCATCTGTAGTTGAGAACTATTGCCTCACTTGCTTGTAGATTGTCAGGTTCTTCTGTCTGAATTATGTCCAAGTTAAACATCTAGTTTCTTATCTCCCAAATGATGCTGTTGTATAGTTTAAACAATCTGTATTATTTTTTGGATCTGGAATGCATTGGTATCTAAAATCTTTATTCTTGTAATTTCTTCCTTTTTTTTTTTTTTTCTTTTTGCTCTTGTGAGTAAGCATTTGTTTCTCCCATGCTCTAAGATCTGATTTGGAGCTGAACCTGCTGATTCTTTGTCTCCAGAATGTTCATTTTATCCTCCTCAGTTCATTTTTGTTTAAATACCTACATCTGTTCCCTTGCACAGTTCTTCCGAAAACTCACAGAAGGAGAGAGACAGGTACCTGAAAGCTCTCAGGGACCCTCTGCTCCCCCTCTCCCAGGAAACACTTGTTCAGAACACTACTACAAAGGAGCTTAGCTAAGCCAGGTCCCCTCTATAAAGCTTGCTAGAAAATATGCCCTTCCTGTTCCTGATACTTAATGTTGGCAGTGACTCTAAATTTCCTTCAAATGTTTTTTTCTCATGAAAGAACATGTGAATGTAAGGTATCTTTTAGATACATTACATGGTAAAGAATATCCATATTTTCTCAGACCTACAGACAGACCTGCTGGTGGAAAAACACCCCACCTTCCAGCCTCTGGAGGTCTCAGTAATTTGGGGAAGAGGTAGAGGCTCATGTCTCTCCACTCCTTGTGGCACAAGAGCCCTGGAGAAAATCACTTGCCTTATTCTTCAGAGGCCTCAAACCAAGCAATTATAATTAATTATTGCTTCCTCATGTCATTCTATTTTCTTGGAAAGCTGAAGAAAAATTAATAGCAGCTTTAGAAACATTTATATATGAAAGTTAAAAGTTTAAATGTCTTCTCCCCATGCTGCATAATCATTCCCATAGACTACAAACATTTTGGATATAAAAAGTCACAGCAAAATTTATCTTAGTTATTTAACAAATATTTCTCTTTTGTTAGTACACTTCTTAATTTTATTTTTTTTAGATTTATTGAGGTATAATTGACAAAAACAAATTGTACAGATCTAAGGAGTATAGTTGATGTTTATATATATGTGTATATGTATATATATATATATATATATATATATATAGTGAAATAATCACCACAATCAAAATAATTAGCATATCAATTACCTCATGTCTTATAATTTTCTTTTATTTTTTATGTTGAAAATAGTTAAGTTCTACTCACTTACCATGTTTCAAGTATAAAATGTAGTACTGTTAATTGCAGTCACATTGTTGTAGAGTTTCAAAATTTATTCATCTTTCATAACTGAAACTTTGTCCCCTTGACAAACATCTCTCCAATGTCCCCTCTTCCAAGTCCCAATGCTGTATGGATACCCTTAAAATCTAAAAGGATGGGTCATGTTGTGTTCTTATCATAATAAAATTTTTAAAAAATCAAAAAATAAATATAGGTACATTATTATTTTAAAAAGTAAATTTTATTGTATTTCATCAGTTTCTTGCTCACCCCCCACCCCACCCCCCCACCATTAATGCCACCTTTCTTGTCTTGAATACAGTCCAGGTACCACATTGCATTAAGTCATCATGTCTCCCAAATCTCCTCTGATCTGTGAAGCTTTCTCGATTTTCTTTTTCTTTCTTTCTTTTTTTTGACTCTTACAACTCTAAGGGATACTGGTGAGGTATCCTGTAGAATACCTTCAAATGTGGACTTTCCTGATGATTTTCTCACATTGGTTTGAGGGAAAGAATATCACAGAAGTAAAGCTTTTCTCATCACATCATACCAGGGGATAGATAGAGAGCCACATTACACCACTATGGTGATGGTCACTTTTTTCTTTTACTTCAGGTAGTCAGGTAATATCAGTCATGTTTCTCTAAAGTTGAATGCAAGATTTCCAATGTAGTTGAGTAGATAACAATTGTTTTTAGACTATTTTTGCTTATTTAAGTTATATAGTTCATGTTTTCTTCAAGAAATATGTGTTATTTCAATAATTCAATATCTAAAAGTAATTAATGGAGTGGGTGTGGTGATGTAATAAAAGAGATATTTAAAAGGGACTAGATCATTTTCCCAGCTTAATATTTAAGCTTGTAAATATTTCTGCTTTAAGTCAATACATCATGAAGAACTCTTCATTCTACTCCCATTTGATTAGAATGAAAGTTTAGAAGAGGGTTATGCTTGGCATATTGTAGTCATTCAATTAATATTTGATAATGCTGACTTCTATAATCACATAATTTTGGTAACTGTAAAGAAGTATTGGAGTGATGAAGAGTCTGAAAAGGGTAATTTTAACATATAAATTTTCATATGAAATGCCCCTAACACTGCTCCAGTTTTTCTGGGACACAGAAATTACATCAGAGAATGGTGATTCATTATAAATGTTTGTTTCATGGTTTTAAGAGAATGAGGCAACAGATAGTCTCTAGGGTTTATGCCCCAAAGGCTGTGACTCTGGATATAAGAATATATCCATCACTTTCAAACAGGACAGATCCTGCTTTCAACATCAGCAGGTTTGCATTAGATTCTAAAGACTGATTAATATTAATTTCAATGTTGGGAACCTAGGGGGAAAAGTGTGGAGGGGAAATTTATCATTTAAATATAGACATTCTTGAGAATTATCTAGTCATTGAAAATTGCCTTTCTGAGGTTTCAAGGAAGAGGAACTGCACTCAGCCTCCAGAGCTCTGTGTTAAAGCTGGCTCGGCTGAGCTCCTGAAAGAGTGTGTGTGGATGCTCAGTGCTTCAGTTCTGTATGATGCTGTGCCAGGCTGCTCTGTCCAAGGGATTATCCTGGGAAGACTACTGAACCAGGTTGCCATTTGCTCCTCCAGGGGATCTTCCTGACCCAGGGATCAAACCTGGGTTTTCTGTGACTCCTGCATCCGCAGACAGGAGGCTTCCTTGCCATGTAGCAACCTAGGAAGTCCGAGCCCCTGAATAACAACCCCTTAAACAAGAGATGCCTGGAATGTGGGGTCAGGAGAGTTTTGAGAATCTGGGGAATGTGCATTGTCTTGCTACTACAAACGTTTGAAGTTGTAGTCAAGGTAGAAAGGACAAGTGTTTTTAAAAAGAGAGAGAGATCAAACAAACTCTATAATGAAAAAAAGAAAAAGGACTATTTTTACTAAAGATTATAAAGTGGATCTGAGACTAAATATTACAATGAAATAGGGGGAAAATGTAGGGAAGTTATATCAAAGGTAACATTAGTTTAAAATGAGTGTTTAGGAAATTCCCTGGTGACTCAGTGGTTATAATTTTGCCAATGCAGGGGTGCAGATTTGATCCCTGTTCAGAGAATTGTAGTCCCGCATGACTCACGGCCAAAAAACCAAAACATAAAACAGAAGCAATATTGTCACAAATTCAATAGAGACTTTAAAAACTGTCCACATCAAAAATAAATAAATGAATAAAATAAAATGAATGTTTAAGCACCTTAGATAAATTAATTATATTTAGAACATCCAGCTTTGTGATAGGCTGTCTTCAATACTTAAATGTATGAGTTTAGGAAGAGATAGGGACCTTGAGTTCTTTGTTTTGCATATGATCTGATCTCTTCATTGATGGCCATCTGAAATCTGTTTCTTGAGTTGTGGAACTAGAGAGAACTACCAGAAATGATAGAGAAAGAACTCCTGGTTCTGGTTCAGTTGGACCTTAGAGGTATTGGTCACCAATTAGAGAAATAGAATTATTTTATATTACTATTTTCTCATGAAATGTTTCCATAGTACAGTGCTACCTCAACTATTTAATATTTCTTCTTTACAGGTAATATAGGGACAGAATAAATATCCTATGCACCTTGAAAGGAGAAAAAAGAGAGCAAAAGGCCAAGAACAGTATATTTCTAAATTAGAATCTTTAATAAGGATATCTATTCTTTCGGAGAGAATATTTTTCTCAAATTTCTTTCTTCGATGCTTTCTAGTATAGCTCTGTGATACGAATACTTTCATCAGGCACATTCCCAAAGTCTCCAGTTTGTCATAAATTAGAAGTATGATAATAAATAAAGAAAATAGCATCTGGACCTTGAACATGGATCAGGATTACTGTAGACAAATGAATAATTGCTGGAAGCCTGGATCAGGGTTCATGTCATAGATACGTAGATTGGGCCTTATTTGCATGATACAGGGAAAGTCAAAAATTTCCATCTTCTGCTTTGCCATCTCTAGAATAAATAGCTAGACTAGATTATCTTTATTATTTTTTCAATATTATTATTCCTCAAACAATGATGGGGGATTGACAACCTGGACTCGCTAGGTTAAGAAACACACTCTGTGAAAAATTATAATTTATTTTGAAGACAAGTTTACTGAGTCAGAAGCAAAATAAGTATTAAAGTGCTACATAGAATTAATAGTAAAGGGACAAATGTAAAGTGTTATGGGTGTCATTTTTAATGTCACATTCTGAACATACAATGCAAAATTTAATTTATTTAGAAGTTTATCATTTTTGCTATTAGTTATAGAACTGAAACAAGTAGCTCTGGTACTAGGGTAAATTAACCTTTATGAACTTATAATGTTCAAGAAAATCTGAAAGTATTAGGGAAGGATTTCATTTAAAATAATCGCAGGTGACTTGAACTCATCTTTTTACTTTGGAATATCAAAAATTAAAATTAAGAACTAAGAAACTTCAATAATTATAATTTTACTTAAATAAAAAGTTTAAATGTTTTTCATTTTTAAAAATTTTAAACATTTAGTGTAGCTTGCATAGAAAATACAGATTCTGAAACAGAAACTTTGCTGCATAGAAAATACAGATTCTGAAAGAGAAACTTTGCTTCATCTTCCAGCTTTGGTAAGGAGTAGTTAACCAAGTGTCTTACATCCTTACTTCCCTTAATATTTTTCTTTCTAGGATTGATTCCAATTCTGACAAACAGAAACAATGTTTCTATCAGAGAGAAATAAAAGTGGGGCTGTGTTCACTCTCCTGGGCTTCTCTGATTACCCAGAGTTTCAAGTCCCCCTCTTCTTGATATTCTTCACCATCTATACTGTCACTGTGGTAGCGAATCTTGGGATGATTGTAATCATCAAAATTAACCCCAAACTGCACACCCCCATGTACTTTTTCCTCAGCCACCTCTCCTTCGTGGACTTTTGTTATTCCTCCATCTTTGCTCCCAAGACCATGGTGGACCTCATGGTAGAAGACAGAACCATTTCATTTGTAGGTTGTGTAATACAATTCTTTTTCTTTTGTACCTTTGTAGTGACTGAGTCCTTTTTATTAGCTGTGATGGCCTATGACCGCTTTGTGGCCATCTGCAACCCTCTGCTCTACATGGTGGCCATATCCCCGAGATTCTGCACCACATTAGTGGTTGGATCTTATGCTTGGGGAGTAGCTTGCTCCTTGATACTCACCTATACTGTTATCAAATTATCATTTCGAGGTTTCAACACAATTGATCACTTCTTCTGTGAGTTCTCCTCCCTGCTTTCCCTCTCTTGCTCTGATACTTACTTCAACCAGTTGCTGCTTTTCATTTTTGCCACCTTTAATGAGGTCAGCACAGTCTTCATCATTCTCCTGTCTTATGTATGCATTGTTGTCACCATCCTCAAGATGCATTCAGCCTGTGGTCGCCGCAAAGCCTTCTCCACCTGCGTCTCCCACCTGACCGCCATCAGCATCTTCCACGGCACCATCCTCTTCCTCTACTGTGCGCCCACCTCCACAACCTCCAGGCACACAGTCAAAGTGGCCTCTGTGTTTTACACGGTGGTCATCCCCATGTTGAATCCCCTGATCTACAGTCTGAGAAATAAGGACGTCAAGGACACAGTCTCCAAGATCATGGACTCTAAAGTGTTTTCATACTAAACATTATTTGGAAGATTTTGCCCTTGATATGTAAATAAACTGTGTCTGCAAATGTTGGTTGATAAAAGGAAATTTATTATTAATGACCTGTTAATATATAAAATATAAAGTACATGGTATTTTGCTTAACTGCACTAAACTTGACATTCTCTCTTACTTACTGGAAAAAAAAAAGCAATCTTTCAAATCTTTTTCATCTAAAATTTTAGACAAAATAATCTGATTACAAAGGTTAAAAGGCATAATATCATGTGGCATACTTGTGTAATCTTAATAATTTGCTAATTTCATCCTCCTTTTTTAATACCTATGGTAGACTAGGCTCTAATAACATGGATTCCTCTTACAAAAAGTACAAATAGCAGTTGACATAGTGTTCATCCTTGAAGGAATGAAAAGTCAGTGATGATAGTAGGGCACTTTAAAAAGTGGAAATTGTATAAGATAGAAAACAGTACATATAATAGAAGGTTTCAGAGGAAAAATTTCAAGTCCTTAAGAGAGATAGTTTTATAAAATAAGTATTATGTACCCTGGTTTGGATAACAGAAGAGATACCTCATGGTAGAAGACAGAACCATTTCATTTGTAGGTTGTGTAATACAATTCTTTTTCTTTTGTACCTTTGTAGTGACTGAGTCCTTTTTATTAGCTGTGATGGCCTATGACCGCTTTGTGGCCATCTGCAACCCTCTGCTCTACATGGTGGCCATATCCCCGAGATTCTGCACCACATTAGTGGTTGGATCTTATGCTTGGGGAGTAGCTTGCTCCTTGATACTCACCTATACTGTTAGCAAATTATCATTTCGAGGTTTCAACACAATTGATCACTTCTTCTGTGAGTTCTCCTCCCTGCTTTCCCTCTCTTGCTCTGATACTTACTTCAACCAGTTGCTGCTTTTCATTTTTGCCACCTTTAATGAGGTCAGCACAGTCTTCATCATTCTCCTGTCTTATGTATGCATTGTTGTCACCATCCTCAAGATGCATTCAGCCTGTGGTCGCCGCAAAGCCTTCTCCACCTGCGTCTCCCACCTGACCGCCATCAGCATCTTCCACGGCACCATCCTCTTCCTCTACTGTGCGCCCACCTCCACAACCTCCAGGCACACAGTCAAAGTGGCCTCTGTGTTTTACACGGTGGTCATCCCCATGTTGAATCCCCTGATCTACAGTCTGAGAAATAAGGACGTCAAGGACACAGTCTCCAAGATCATGGACTCTAAAGTGTTTTCATACTAAACATTATTTGGAAGATTTTGCCCTTGATATGTAAATAAACTGTGTCTGCAAATGTTGGTTGATAAAAGGAAATTTATTATTAATGACCTGTTAATATATAAAATATAAAGTACATGGTATTTTGCTTAACTGCACTAAACTTGACATTCTCTCTTACTTACTGGAAAAAAAAAAGCAATCTTTCAAATCTTTTTCATCTAAAATTTTAGACAAAATAATCTGATTACAAAGGTTAAAAGGCATAATATCATGTGGCATACTTGTGTAATCTTAATAATTTGCTAATTTCATCCTCCTTTTTTAATACCTATGGTAGACTAGGCTCTAATAACATGGATTCCTCTTACAAAAAGTACAAATAGCAGTTGACATAGTGTTCATCCTTGAAGGAATGAAAAGTCAGTGATGATAGTAGGGCACTTTAAAAAGTGGAAATTGTATAAGATAGAAAACAGTACATATAATAGAAGGTTTCAGAGGAAAAATTTCAAGTCCTTAAGAGAGATAGTTTTATAAAATAAGTATTATGTACCCTGGTTTGGATAACAGAAGAGATGGTTTTAGGTGACATATTTCAACATAGGAGTTTTATCCAGGAAACTAAAGATTGAGGAACAAGGAACAGAGTGCAATACTGAGTCAATGATACAACAATGATTCTTTTTTAATTGAATAAATACTGTGTTTGCATATTTGGATATTTTTGCATATTGTATATACAGGTTACTTGGCATGAATAAAAGTGGATAAGACATGGTCTATATTTCAAATGTGTTTTCAAAAGAGCTCCAGTGTGGCAACATAACTAGCTATGATTATTGTTGAGTCACTCAGTTGTGTCCAATTCTTTTGCAACCCCATGGACTCTAGTCCACCAGGATCCTCTATCCATGGGATTTTCCAGGCAAGAATACTGGAGTGGGTTGCCATTTCCTTCTCCAGTGGTAGAGTCCACCAGAGATTTAAAAGTGGTAGACCATATCTCAGAACATGTTACATAAAAACAGGAAGCATGGTGACTACCTGCCTAACTTGCATTTCAAGCTATTATTCTGCCTATGGAGACATTAAAAGCATTATCAATTCTTTTTTTTTTCCCCTGAATAAAATGTCTGTATCCTTCTCAACTAAAGAAAGTGAAAATAAAAGTTGCTCAGTTGTGTCTGATTCTTTGTGACCCCATGGACTAGTTCACAGAGTTCTCCAGGCCAGAATACTGCAGTGGGTAGCCTTTCCCTTCTCCAGGGTATCTTCCTAACCCAGGGATCAAACCCAGGTCTCCTGCATTGCATGAGGATTCTTTACCAGTTGAGCCACAAGGGAAATCTTCTCAACTAAACTCCTAGCTTTAAAGAAACAGTACTTGGAGTTTCCCTAAGAGTTGAAAACCAATTGCCTGTATGACCATATTCAGCATACGAGAAGAAGGTAGTCACTAGCATCCAGACCTATTCAATCTGGCAAATTAGAAATACCAGATCATGGGAATTTCCTGGTGGTGTTGTGGCTAAGAGTCTGCACTCCCAATTCAGGGATCCTGGCTTTGATCTCTGGTCAGGGAACTAGATTTCTCATGCTGCAACTGAAAGATTCTATGTGCTGCAAATAAGATCTGGTGTAACCAAATGAAGAAATATTGAAAAACAGAAATACCAGGTCTTCCAGCGTTCTGGTCTGGAGAATTCCATGGACTGTATAGTCCATGGGGTCGCAAAGAGTTGGACATGACTGAGTGACTTTCAATTCACCCAACATTAATATCTCACTTTTGCTTGAATAATTTTTACACTATTCTCTTACTCAATATGTCTAGATAAATTCTGCAATGTCTACTTTTCAAAAGATCTAAACACTCATAATATTTGAGAGCATTAAAAGTAAATGGGAATAGAATCTGTCAGAATTTGTGCTGGAATAGGAATGACACAAATATTTCAGCCAATTTCTCACAATGATCTTTCCTCAAATTTTGTAAAGTAATGCATTAAAATTAGATTGCCTTCTAATTTTGCTGAAGACTAAATTTTTGGGTGTTATATCTTTTAGGATGATTTTCTGTCCAATATGGTAGTTTTCAACATGATCCCAGTTCTTCAGTTATCCAGGTATCCACGCCCCTTTCTACTCTTCTGATTAATGGTGGAATCAATTTCTCCATGTTCTGAATGTAGACTACTTTGTGACTAGTTTTGACTAATATAAAAGGTAGCTGAAGAGAGATTGTGCCATCTTCAAGCCTCTGATGGCCCTGTGGCTTTCTCATAATCTCTTGGAATTTGCATAGTCTCTTAGAAAAGCTGCCATGTGAATAAGCACAGGCTAGCCTATTGGCTTCCCTGGTGCCTCAGAGGTTAAAGCGTCTGCCTGCAGTGCGGGAGACCGGGGTTTGATCCCTGAGTCGGGAAGATCCCCTGGAGAAGGAAATGGCAACCCACTCCAGTATTCTTGCCTGGAGAATCCCATGCAGGGAGGAGCCTGGTAGGNCGCTGACCTTCTTAATTTCTGACGTTACCACAAAGACCTTCTCAAATCTTATCATATAGCAACTAAGTATATAAGCTTTTCTTAAATGCAACTTGATTAAAATGTGCAATCAAAAAGTTTAGACAATTTAACTTGTTGATGTCATTGAATCTTCTGATACAATACTTTAATAAAATTATAGTATGTTGTTTGTATAAATGTAGTTCACCAAAAACTTACAACTTCATATTTTTATTATACATTTTGTTAAAATGATCATTAAATAGAATTCAATTATAAGTTTATATTTAAATTACTTTAAAAAAATACCTTCCCTGCCTTTAGGACTTAAATAAATAGATAAGCAATGAGTTCCTCTAAGTGTTTTGCCCAGATAATATAAAACATCACTTCCAATATTGCTCTTTACAGATATCTTTTTATTCTTCCTGTAATGGAACTCTCTCCCTCAGGGAGATGCATTTTAAAACTGGCAATACTTTCAGGGTATACTAAGAACAACAACAACAAAAATAGATACTAAATAGATATGTTATAATCATCAATCCACTAATATCTAATTTCAAAACATCACTGTATAGTCTAAAATGCCTGTCTAAAGTCCTTATTTTTTGAGGGGAAAAAAAAAGATATATAAACCAGAGAGAAACAAGAAGTCATGTCAAGGGTTGGCAAAATCTTGATTATAGATAATGTCAGGATATCTGGAAAGCAGTACTCCATAACATTCTTAATTTTTACATTTTGGGAGTTTGTTTCTGCTTTTATAATTGGGATGATTCACCAGGTAAGGAGAAGGGGATGACAGAGGATGAGATGGCTGGATGGCATCACCGACTCCATGGACATGAGTTTGAGTAAACACCGGGAGTTGGTCTTGGACAGGGAGGCCTGGCGTTCTGCGATTCATGGGGTCACAAAGAGTCGGACACGACTGAGGGACTGAACTGAACTGAATACATGTTTGAATACAGACCCATTAAACGGTCTCTGTGTTGAGGAGGGAGCACGGTTTCCAGCACCGTCAGTGGCTCTGCTCTTCCTAACACAGGGCCAGATGGCAAAAAGCAAGCAGCAGCATATGAGCTCATTCTATCAGTGATTCCACTTATGACTTTGTGCAAGTTACAGATGTCAGAGTCTAAGTCATCTTAGGTGCTGCATAGCTGTAATCATCTCACTTATTTTTATAAAGATGGAAGGTGTGGGTAGTTGCATTCAGAAGAGTACACAGCACATTCAAAGTGATCAACAAATATGAGCAATTGCTATTGTTCTCAGCAAAGGCAGATCATAATTTCCACCACTTTCTGGTATTCAGCAAAATGCTATTGGGACTTCGAACCCTATGTCCTCCAGAAAAGAGCTCTAAGTGTAAGACTGGCACAGTTTATAAGACTTATCCACATATTTCAAAAAGGCAACATAATCCCTGGTTCAGAGGGTACTGTTTGAACACAGCAAAAAATACTCTGCAGTTCATCATGACATCTGAAAGGAATTGTGCTGAATTATAATAACATGTACCAGCTTGGGGCTTTCCATGTGATTCAATGGGTAAAGGATCTGCCTGCAATTCAGAAACCATGGGTTCCATCCCTGGGTCAGGAAGATCCCTTGGAGGAGAGCATGGCAACCCACTCCTATATTCTTGCCTGGAGAGTCTCATGGACGTAGGAGCCTGGTAGGCTGCAGTCCATAGAGTCATGAAGAGTCAGACATGCCTGAAGAGACTTGGCATGTATGTGAACCAGCTTTAAAGAGCTTTTCCCCTCTGACTGCTTCTCATACAACTCGTTAATTATTTGAGTCCCAAGATGATGTTGCTTGCTCTCAAGATGAAGTTGTTTACTTGATATCTTGTTGGTGTCCCACAGAGATCAATGATTGGTTTGGAAGCTTAAGAAATATGAGCTCCAGGGATACACACACATAAAAAACTAAAGCATGTAATGTTTTCCCTCATAGCATCTTCATAAACAGTGGAAGCAATGTCTATCTCACAGGTTGGTTGGACAACACTCTGTTTTGGGGGGAATGGACTGAACTGTATTTCCTGAGGTGTGGAAGCTTGTTTATTGGTTTGTCTTCTCATAAGGGTAGCATTATTAGCCATGTATGAGAGGGGGAACAATTTTAAAAGAGGATAGTGACATTAGACACATTTTTAAAGGTCTGTAGTTAGCCTGTATTTATAGAGTATTTTAAGAAATGCCCAAATTTTGAGCACTCCTTTTTGAAAGTATCTTCACTTTTTGTGCTGAGAAAAAATTGCAACAGGAAATGGGAACAACTCCATCTGCAGAGCCGGATATCTTGTAACAGCTGTCAGTGTAAGAGTGAAAGAGTGTGAGCCAACAGAGAGGAATGCTTGATTCCTCTCCCCTTCCCTCCTCTTCCTCCCTCACTTTTACTCCATCCACGGAACCTGGGAAAGACAGCAGGGAGATTCTCCTGACAGTCACTCTGAGGTTGGGAGTTGGGAGTGGTGCTGAGGGATCCTCAGAACTGTTCAA